AACCTGTAGCCATGCCCCGTTCGCTCTCAACTTGTTGCTCCTCACACGTCCATTTGCGAGCCTTTTCCCATGAACCCGGACCTCTACAACCGTGAACATCAATTACTACCGGTGGGTTTAGGGTTTACGGCTTAGGGCTCGCCAGCACAATACCCATCACAACTTCAGGAGCCCTGCTAACCAGCTACTCGCCATGACCTCTTGTCAATCATGGTTGTTGCCGTTGCTGTCGGTTAACTGCTTCAACTTATGACCATCACCCTTCTTACGATTACAGTTTTCGCACTCGCAAGTTTCGCAAGCTTAAACCTTGAGGCCAAGCCCTTTTCTGTAATATCGAAATCTGAATTATTGGCTGAAATCGTACAACCCGCAAGGCACTCTCATAGAGCATACAGCCTTTAAGAGCCTTGAAGCCAAGGGCGCGCGTAGTCGCACGCCGCTCTATGGGGGGTGAAGTCGATGCACGACGTGCACGGGAGCAGGCGGCTGCTGATTCGCCGACTGTTGATAATTTGAAGTTTGGATTTGGGGCTTGGCGCGGCTAGAGTCCAGACCTTCGGCTTGAGGTTCAAATTGGCCTTCATAGCATAAGCAGACCTTGACTTGCATATCTTCCAGCACTTTGTTTGCGTCAGGAGTATTACTTCGATCAAGTAGTGAGCCTAGTCTGGTGTAACGCAGAACTCTGATGAAAGTGGGGATCTTAGTATCGAGGTCCTTGTGGACGGGTTGTTTGCCAGTCAACCCTATACTAAACCCTCGAACTTCAATTTCTACATCCGCAGCTGTCCTAAACCCTATAATCCTTTAATGACCCTATAATGTTAACCCCTTAATCCTAAACCCCATAAAATCCCGGGACCATATACTGCTAAACCCCTTACCCTAGAAGGCCAGGTACATTGGAAGGTTAAAGGGCGAGGCCTAAGAGCCCAAGCGTCCTCAAAGCCCTCAAAGCTCAAAACGCCGGAACATCCCCCCCGGCCATGGTTTTTATTTTAGGGCTCTGAGGTTTAGGGTTTAGGGTCAGCTGTCGGGGTTGTGAGGTGTAGGGTTTAGGAGCTTAGGATCCAAACCCTAAACCCTAAACCTTAAGTGCGCCATAGATTCAAAGCTCCACTCCACAATTTCAGATGCTGAGCTCCGAGCCACTCGAGCCTCTGAGGCTCCCAAGCTCTGATAACTGTAGACCAGCCGTTTAGGGTTTAGGGGTTTAG